AAAGGAAATGTTGATTGGTAGAATTATAGATTTAATTTCCCCATTTCTCCTCCTTTGATTATTATACCTGTCTCTTTATTTACATGGTAATAGATTTCCTGTAGTTTCTATATCTGCTTTCCCCCCTCTATGCCTCTCGGATTTATGGTAATCCACATCCAAAAACCTGATATTATTTGTTAATCATAATTCCGTGTTTTTTTTTAAACGCAGGGATTTAAAATATCTCTTTCATGTGAATTCTTCCCAACCTTGTATGTTTATATTTTAACTAAAACCGTTGAATTGCTGAGCACTTTTCCAACTTGCAGAGCATAATTAAGTTTCAAATATGTCAACTGAATGGAGAAAAAAAAACCCCAACCCTACTTAAATAAATAGCAGCATTCCTTTGGCGGAGTCTCGGCTCCTGGGAAGAGCTCAATTTTGAAGGTGATACACCATGCATAGTACTGACTCTACCCGCGAAGGTGAGGGTGCCCTTTCCTTTGCCTTTTTGCCCTGATTTTGCTCACTCTTTGCCCTTGAACCGCCAAGTCAACCCAACCCAACCACCCCTGGTTGAGCTTCCCGCCAAGGAGCAAAGGAGAAGGCCTACTACCTCTTCCCAAGACCAGCCCCAATGAGAAGAAGGTGGCTAAAAGCCGGTGACCCTGTTTGACTTCCATGTCTCTAACTGGCTCCCGAGTGACGTGAACTAGTTGGGTCGGACCCTCCCTCTCCCCAGGGCACCAGCTGCCAAGCTCCCCTCCTCCCCCCCCCCAACCTTCAACTGCCTCTCTATCCAGCCGGGTTTACGAGCTTCAACCCTCTTTGTTTGCTGGGTCTGAAAGGAAGCAAAAGAGAAGTTGAGGCCGGAGGAGGAGGAGGAGGAGTGATTTGAGGACAGCCTGCCAAGTCAGAGTGGCAAGGGAGGGACGGGCGAACTTCCCTCCACATGAAAGCTAGGTTAGGGAGGGTGATGAAAACACAATGCAAACAAGAACAACAGCTCTTCCTGGAAAGTGGCACCACCGTTCAACCCAGCCAGCGTCACTCGGCAGAAATCATGTAAGAGCCAGGCGCCCTTGCTGGAAAGGAGACTTGGCTTTTGGACAGGGTTTTTTAAAATAATAATAATAATACGCATCGATATCCCTAGAAGCCTCTTGCAAGGAAATGTCCCACAAATGCAGTCTTGATTTTCAGTGGTAGTTTAGTTTCTACAGGATATCACTACAGGATGCCGTAAATCAAGAGGGGACTGGACAGCAGAGAAGGTCCTATTTTGAGACAGCGACCTTCTGTTAGCAAGAGAAGAAAGGAAAGAAAGGGAGAGAGACAGAGAGAAAGAGAGAAAGAAAGAGAAGAAAAGAAAGAGAAAGGGACAAAGAGAGAAAGAAAGAGAAAGAGAGAGAGGAAGAGAGAGAAGAGAGAGAAAGATATAAAGAAAGAAAGAGAGAGAGAAAGAGAGAAAGAGATATAAAGAAAGAGAGAAAAAGAGTGAGAAAGAAAGAGAAAAAGAAAGAAAGGAAGGAAGGAAGGAGGGAGGGTGGGAAGATGAAAGAGGAAGAAAGGAAAGAAGATGAGAAAGGGAGAAGGGAGGGAAGAAGAACAGAAAGATAAAAAGAAGGAAGAAAATAAAGGAGGGCACAAGTGAGCAGAGGACAGGGGACAGAAAATACACCCAGAGCATAATCCGTATTCATGTAGAAATACCACTGCTAAACCCAGATATTCCAGAGACCAACTTCTGGCTGGGTGGTGTCCCATAAGACGTGAAGGAGGCATTTTCCAGCTCCTCATTACCCAATTCCTTGGGTGGCACCCCCGGAATTATGCAAAGTTATTCCACCGAATAACCGATGTGAACAAACGGAGGCAGTGCCCACGAGAGGCACAGATTGAAACCCAGCAGGAAGTTTGAAGCGGGAGGAGAAAGACAGACAGACGGTCTTCTTACCTCCATCTTTCTGATTAGAATGAAGGTAGGGAGAGGAAGAAATGCCCGTCCTGGTTTAACTAGGAACAGGACCTGCCCTCTTTACATTTTCTAGCGTTAAAGTTTCTAGCCAACAACGAGGTTCTGGAAGGGCTCCCCTCCCACAGTCTCCAACAAGGAGAAATGGAGAAAAACTCGCTCATAATGGGTACAACTGAGAACCTCAGGAGGAGGCGACCAAGGGTTAAGTGGCTGATACTCAAGGCAGAGAGCCCTAAAATACCCCATGCCCCCACCTTGCTCTCTCCCCAAGGGCCAGAGGCTAGCAACTTCAGAAAGAACCGCTCTGCTGGGCCAGGGAGCCAAAGGTCAGGAGGGGGGTCTTGAGCTGGCCATCAGGTGAGAACCGGGCAAGAGGGAGGAGGAGGAGGGAGAAGAAAGGGAAGGAGTGGGACAGGTAGCAATTCCCCACCTGCATTCATTAACAAGGGGTTAATGAATGGCGACCCCAGCCGTGGAAGGGTCTACATTAGCCTGAAGGTCTAAAGGACTCTCCTCAACCTCTCTCAACTTCAGTTTTGGAAGTCTGAAGTCCATCAGTCCCTCCCGTCCTCCTCCTCACCACCACCACCACCACCTCCAAGCAGAGAGCTCACCTGTGTGGGTCCTCAGATGAGCTTTCAGATGCGAAGACTTGCCGTAAACCTTTTCGCACCCCACGTAGTGGCACTTGTGTTTTTTCTGGGGTAATTCTGGGTCGAGCTGGCACCGTCCCCTCCTGTTCCTTTGTTTCGGGCCGGGCTGGTTCTCTGCAGCCAAGTGGGTAGGTGTGGCTGCTCTCTCTCCTCCTGCACACTCGCTGGCTGGCAAGGCCAGGTCTTGGCCGAGCGCTGCGTGCAAGAGAGGAGCGCTGGCTTCCTCCTCCGGCTCCATCCTCTGGACCTTCTCCAGCTGGAGCGAGGAAGACTTCGGGAGGTGCTGGTTGAGGTCGGCCAGAATGCTGGCCACGGCATACACTGAGGTGCCCCCCGCCCCGTTGTCTCTGGCAGCCTCCTTCCCTTCGGGTTTCTCCTTGGGAGTCAAGTCCGCGAGAGGGGAAGCCATCCCAACAGGTGGAGGTCTTGGTTCTTCAGGAGGACCGTGGATGATCGCCCGGCTGGACATGGAGACGAGGCACTCGGCAGCGAAGTAGGCAGCTGTGGCCATTTTCCACGCCTCTCGGGGGTGCACAAAACCCACACCTCCAGAGGCTTGGCAGGGGCACCTTCCTTGCAGGAGAGAAGAGAGCAGGTTTCACAAGAAGGACTCCGCGGGCAAAAGGCTCGCCCCTTTCCTGCCCTCTTTCTCAAGAGGAAAGGCTGCCGGCGCGCACATCAAGACAGGCAAACCCCCCGCAGAACAGCTGGCCACTCGAAGCAGACCGTCTCCATCGCTGGCCTCCTGCACCCCCGGCAGCTCTTCCCTCGCATGCTGTGGGCAGAAGTGAGCCAGCCTGTTAGAGCTCCTTCAACCCCCCCTGGGGGTGTGGCTCTGCCAAACATCTGGCCGTGATGTCACCACGGAGAGGCTGCTGCATCCTGGGCTGATCAGGTTAGCGGCCCACGGAGACTCTGCCTGCCCCGGAGGCAGCTCCGCCAGCGGAGGGAGAAAGAGAGAGAGAGAGAGAGACCCAGCGGAGAGCAGCAGAGCAGAGTGAAGTGGATTTGACTTTGGCAGGAGAGGGAGAGCAAGTCAAACGAAAGGAAGGAGCCGATTGGCTCGGGCCAGGCCAATCGCAGCTGCAGGATCCCTGCTTGCACATTTCCCCAGATGAAGAAGGTTTTTCCTGCTGGATCCGAAGGAGGGCCAGGCGCTCAAGATTTGCCTTTCCCTTGCCTTAAACTCAAGATCAAAGCGACGGTGAGAGACAGGGGAAGAGAGGCCTCTATGAAGCCTCCACATCCCCACCAAGGGTTCCCCAATCCAGCACTCTCTGCCCAGGCTGGATGCCCCTTCCCATCGCTCCCGGCCTGCTTGCTCATGGGACTAGGGGATTATGGGCCAAGGAATGGTCACATTCAAGCCCAGGCCGTCCACTTTCACCAAGAGAGGACAGTTTTCTGGGTCTGCATCTGCAGCTTGTATCTGAGTCCAGATCTGGAATGCAAAGATGACACTCGCAATTTAGCGATGCCTGATCAAATTGGGGGTGGGGGGGGGAAGGGACCCCCCTGTAGGAGTGGTGAAGCAAAGGC